TATTTTAATCAAAGTATATTTCGGCTTAGCAAAAAAACATCCTTAACCATCTTTGTTGAAGAAAACGTGCTAAAATATTTTTCACACATTGAAGCCAAATTGTTTGTTTGCTACTGATAGCTAGTCAGACTTCAGCTTTTAGCACCTTTGACATTTCCTCTAACTTCAAAGATTTTGTCGCTCAGAAATCAAATTAAGCCCTTTGGCTTTGCTTAGCAGATTATTAATAACACATTTTTTGTTAAAACTCCTTCTCGGTATTGTTTGGACTGTTTGGCAGATTGAGTAACTCTCCTGGTAGCCTTCCATAAAAAGGACTGTACTTGCAGTCAAAGTTACATTCGCTCACTGTAACTTTGACAAAGAAGTTTATTAATAAATTGTGATTCAACAGTCTTTTAAGTTTGTGGATTTATTATTCCAGGTATGTTGAGTTTCTCATTGTTTATTTTTTTCTATTGTTATTCAATGTATTTTTCTATGTCAAGTAAAAAAACATATTTTTAGTCTAAGTATGTTGTAAAGATTTCTGCTATCATTCTAATAAAACTAATTAATTATTGTTAATCTTTTTATGACAAAAATTTGATATAATTATATATCTCTAGAAGTTGAAAATATAAATGAGATATATGTTATAATTGATTAAAATGAGTTATATGTATAAATAGATAATGGTTTACATCTTGCATTATGTTACTGTATATAAGTGTTTGATAATTCATAAACAATATGAGTAAAACATGATTGTATGTTCATAAGTAGGAATAGGTTCATATACCTTTCACAGCATAAGCGAGTTCTCTACATAAATAATTCTTATCTAATTTTCCCCATAATTATTAAAGTCAATTGTTGTTTAACATCAGTAAAATGCAATTTCCATTATTTTTTATCTAAGATGTTAGTTATCAGTTATCATCCATTATTTGCAATGATGTTATATTTCATGATTGTCTTTAAATTGAAATTTGTATCATTGTATTATATATATACTGATGACATTCGCTCACTGTAACTTTGACAAAGAAGTTTATTAATAAATTGTGATTCAACAGTCTTTTAAGTTTGTGGATTTATTATTCCAGGAATAATCCTAAGCCGTCCTTAATAGACGCACTATCCCAGTGTTATATTAATAGTGTTCAAAATTCACATAACTATTAACAGCGTAGATAATTAAATTAGTTTCAGCCACCCAATATCCGAAAATGGAACATTCCCAGACAAGAATTTATAGTCCTTTTCAAAAAATAAATGGAATAACACACTATTACTATTGTCAACCCCGTTAAGCAAACAATCTGTCACGTGACCTCACAAGGTATTTTTGTTCAAATGTATTATTCGCTGTATGCTCACATGCTTGTTATCATTGCTTGAGCTAAATAAAGTTTATGTTGTTGTTGTTTGTTTGTTTACTTCAGGATAACCTGTGCATATTTTTTACATTATTTGTGGTAATGTACTAAAAAAGAAAAAAATGTAGTGCAGCCAAAAAACAGTAAAGTTCTTTTATTAAAAAATTACTGTTTTTTGGCTGCACAACAATATATTGAAAAAATGTTTATAAAATGAATCGTCTGTATTCTGATTAACGACTTTTAAATGAAATTGATTGGTTTTCTAAATATGAAGTCACGTATTATAACACAATGTAGTAAAATATTCCTCCTTTTTCAGATAGTTCAAGATTTATTTTTAGGGTGGGGGGAGGTTTTGTTGTAAAAACGCCTTTGTGTTCTGGAATGCAAACATATATGTTTGGAAATAGAAGCAATGGTCGTAATGCAATCAATCAGGTGTAGATGTTTAAAATGATGTTACTCTAACTTCCAAAGGGTCTAGACATAACAATAATGCAAGAAAATATAGTGTATTGACTACCGTAGCTATATACCCTTACAACATTGTAAAATATACATGTATTACCGATCATGAACTGTTTTTGTATGAATTGTTTGGTCGCACCCGCTCTCCATGGTGAATATGATGAAGGACTCTACTATTTTTCACAAGTATGACTTAAAAATAAAAACGCGCTGCGGTTCCACTAACAAAAATATGCCCCTTGTACATGAAGTACATTTGTGACATATTGTTATAATATTTATGTACATAATATATTCTAGGTTTTGCTCGCCTTTATAGAAGTTGGTGGAATAAAATGGTTTTAGAATGAATATGCTCAATCTAAACATACTGTGTACATATATGTAATTATGTTTGATTACAAAAATATATTAAATGACTTATGTAGAAGTACTATCCAATTATCCGGTCGTTATAGGTTGCCATAGACCATAGAGTTATGTTGTATGGATGATAACAAGATTCAAACTATTCTACTATTTATTATAACCATTTAATACATGTTGTTAAGACCAGAGCTCAAGTGAGAATGCTCAGGTATCAGAGAGGCACGATCATATATATAACATAGCATTTATGAATATCAAGTAAATGGAAGTAATCCCATTAACTGTACAACTAAACATGTAAAGAGTTATCTGATTTTGATATCATAACACATAGCAATCAAGAGAGAGAGAAAAACAAAACCTAGTGACCTTCCTTTTGTAGTAAAAGCTACAACTATGAAAATTTGACTTGATTCACATTTGCAAATGTAAAATTGAACCTTTGTATCAGACATCGATAAAATTTGGACTATACGCACGGTTTCTGATGAGGAATTAAATTTTGCTATAAGTTGACCTACTTTTTTACTCAGTGAAGGTGCTCACCTGAGCATTATATATATGTCTTGTAAGGACAACGTTTCTCAGGTGAGCAATAAATGACCTCTCTCGCCCTCATGTTATAAACATGTCATATAATGTGTTTACATTCTACTAAACTTTCATTTATCGAAATTTATGTTAATTATATAAATGTAATAAATTCAAAGTAGTAATTAAATTTCATCAGATAAATACATTTCAATATAAGAAAAAGAAAATATTTCAATAAACTTGCATATCTAAATTCAAAATATATGATAACCAACAATATTAAAGACTTAAAATCCTAGCGAGATAAAGAATTAAATGATAAATGATGACTTTATTTCAAAAAAATAACTATGTTACAAATCTAAAATATCTTCAGACTTATTAAACCTCAAAATGATGCCAAGCCAAACAGAGAAGATAAGACACCGCCGTCTCAAAGATTTTCAAACAAAGAGACAAAGATTCATGATGAAAAGACTGCAGCTAAAATTGAAAAAAATATATTAAATTTAGAAAGAACGATTTCACATCCCAATGATAAATCTTCGATCCGACTACGACCTATTTTGAAGAAGCACACAAGGACTCGGAAAAATGAGAGTCCGTCTGAAGAAAGTGATGTTGTAAAGCAATATAGTACGGTATCTCTTAGAAGAATCAAAACTGCATCTGAGAGTAAAGTTGTTACTGATCTATGTAGTGCAAACCCCAAGGAATGTAATAAAACGGTAAAGAGCTGTGAAACAACAAAGAAAAATGAATTATCAGATATTATGACAAAAGAAAACTGCAATAACAATATTTCAACATCACATTTACATCCTGCAAACAAAGGAAATGATGCTGCCGCTACATCTGCCAAAGCTTCCACGGCTGTAATTGAAAATAAACTATACCTGCCAAGATATCAGTTGAAAAATGAATTGAAGTGTTACAATGATGTCAACTCAGACAATGTATATCAACAAACACGTACTTCACAAATTAGTTTTTCACAGCCACAAATTAGACCCACACCTATAAAATCTAAATACATAACTTCATTCAATGTACAATCTGAAACCAAAACAAACCAACAATTGAAGAAAAGCCAGGTAACTTCAATGCATGAAAAGTCTGCATTAACAAACCAGAGCAAAAGCTTAACATCACATTTACGTTCTGTGCTCAAAGAAAATGACCCTGCCGCTGCATCTGCTAGAGCTTTTTCGGCTGCATTTGAAAATAAACTATGCCAGCCAAAGTCAGATGTAAGAAATGAAAGCAAAGTGGTAAGAAACAAGAACATTAAAAAAAGGTCTGAATGCTTTAGTGAAAGTCGTTTACCATTGCAAAGCCGTAACAGAGATACCTTTCTTCTAAACGATTACGAAAACAAAACTGTTTATAATTATAGCAAACCATCAAAGTGCAGTTCTGGTCGGAGTTACAAACCGTCGTACAACAGTATTCGACGCAGAAAGTACCGAAAAACCGATCTAAGTAGCGAAAATCTTGACACAGTTCACCAGTTTTATTCCGAAAGAGTCACATTAGATGTTGATATCAAAAATGAAACACATGATAACATTAATGAGCTTCTTGACGATATTCTTAATAACAAAGAAAACAGAGCTCGCTTTGCAACGGAGGCCACCACTGAGGGTTCAAATGCTGTTGGAGTAAAAGTAGGAAAAGCAGATGAGTTAGACTACAGTGTTGACATCCTTATCAATTGTCAACAATTGGAACTGTCTGGCGAGCCGGTTAACTTCGAATTCGAGGGAGATGACATTGACAGCCATGATAAAAATGAGGTTAACGTGATATATTCTTAAACTGTCATTTTATTAGCTCGACTATTCGCAGAATAATCGAGCTAATGCAGTCACCCATTTGTCGGCGTCGGCGTCACTGTGGTTAAGTTTTTGCGTGTAAGCTGGTATCTCCATAACTACTGAAGGGAATAAATTGAAACCTCACACACTTGTTCTCTGTGATTATCGAACATGATTGGCACAAGTCCCATAACTCTTATTTGCTTTTTCGCATAATTATGCCCCTTTTCAACTAAGAAATTCTTGGTTAAGTTTTTGCGTGCAAGCTGGTATCTCCATAACTACTGAAGGGAATGAATTGAAACTTCACACACTTGTTCTCTGTGATTATTATCCCCCGCCGAAAAGGCGGCGGGGGATATAGAAATAGTCTCCGTACGTCCGACCTTCCGTCCTTCCGTACAAACCAGAGCTACATTATGGGGTTTCGTCTATTGTTCTCATAACAATAGATGTCTTTGATGTCATTCATTCCGTTTCTCTTGTGGGGTTATTTTCCGCATTGTGGGGTTAAAAAGAACAAAAGAAATAACAAAAGAAAACCCCATAATGTAGCTCTGGTAAGAACGTCCGTCCGTCCGTCCGTCCGCACTAAAAGGACAGTAATTATGTGGCTAGAGGGACAATAGGTAACTGTTCTTTCTCTTTGATGTCATTCATTCCGTAATGTGGCTATTTTCTTTTGTGTGGCTAAAAAGAACAATAGAGAGAACAATAGAGTAGCCACATAATTACTCTCCTGTTAGAACTTCCGTCCGTCCTTCCGTCCGACATTTTTGTCCGGAGCATATCTCTAAAAGTATTTGAGTTATCAACTTGAAACTTCATAGGTGGATAGACCTTATTGAGGAGGAGTGCAGTGCACAAGAATGATAACTCTACCCTGCATAATTTTTGAGTTATTGCCCTTTGTTATTTTTCAAAATTGATTTTTGTCCAGAGCATAACTCCAAAAGCCTATGAGATATCAACATGAAACTTCATAGGTGCATATATCTCACTCAGGAGGTGTGCAGTGCACAAGAATGATAACTCTACCTTTCATAATTTTTGAGTTATTGCCCTTTGTTATTTTTCATACTTAATTTTTCACCTGAGTGGAGCAAAACTCAAAAAGTTTTTGAGATATCAACATGAAATGTCATAGTTGGATAGATCTTATTGAGGAGGAATGTTGTGCGCAAGAATGATAACTCTTCCCTAACCAATTTTTGAGTTATTGCCCTTTGTTCTTTTTCATGCTATTTTGTCCAGAGCTTATCTCAAAAAGTATTTGAGGTATCAACTTGAAACTTCATAGGTGGATGGATTTCATTGAGGAGGAGTGCATTGCACAAGAATGATAACTCTACTCTGCATTATTTTTGAGTTATTGCCCTTTGTTATTTTTCAAAATTAATTTTTGTCCAGAGCATAACTCAAAAAGCCTTTGAGATATCATTATGAAACTTCATAGGTGCATAGATCTCACTCAGGAGGTGTGCAGTGCACAAGAATGACAACTCTACCTTTCATAATTTTTGAGTTATTGCCCTTTGTTATTTTTCATACTTAATTTTTCAATTCAATTTTTTTCTCAAAAAGTATTTGAGGTATCAACTTGAAACTTCATAGGTGGATAGATTTTACTGAGGAGGGATGCAGCACACAAGAATGATAACCTACCCTGCATTATTTTTCAGTTATTGCCCTTTGTTTTTTCAGCCATCAGTATTCACGTAGGTTTCAAATCTGTAATCACTATAGCCATCAGTTTTCATTACCAAAAGACCTCTTAAAATGGTATTATTCTGCTCTACTACATATTTATTCTTCCAATGAGCAAACACATTCGGCGGGGGATGGCCATGTTGACATGGCTCTTGTTTTTACATGATTGGCACAAGTCCCATAATTCTAATTTTATGTATTCATATAGGTAAGCATTATTATACTCAATGAAACACACTTGTGACAACTTTTCGAAAAGTCGAGCGTTATGGTCCTCGGACAGTTTTTGTTTCACAAATACTTAATTTATTGGTTTGTCATAAACATAGATGTGAGCACTACTTCATCCTTGCTGATAAATATATTATAATCAAGTTAAAAAACATCTCAATAAGCTAATATCCTTGTACTTCTGAATTTTTATTTATTCAACTAACTATTCATGTATCCAAAAGAAGTTGGTATTCTACACTCGTATCTGGTAGTAATTCATTTTCATTCTAGGTTTCATCGATCTTCGTAGACGCAGGGAAGCGATATTTTCCTAATGAGATAAGATTATTACGCCCATACTCTAACGTACTCTACGTGCCTGAGGGCTTTAAAGCTGTCTATGTTCCTCGGTGGGTTAATTCAAGTTTTCCAAATTGCTGTGTAAAGGATAGAAACCGGACGTTGATTTTGCCATACTATGTTTTGTCTGATTTTCACGGCTTTGTGAGTGATGCTGTACATGGTATGTTTACTTCATTTTGCAAGCGTACATAATTAAGTGAGTTACATCGTTGTTACTCGTGAATGCTCAAACTGTTAATATAGCGTATACTTATTTCAACCAGAAATAATACCACCCAAATTTCTTGCATTTTCCATGATCCGTTCTCTCATACTATAAATGTAAATTTCAGAATTTGATGCAGTTAGTTTAAACCGTGGCGCTAAAGGTCCGGCTGTGTCGCTTACAATCCAACAGGACGACGGGCCAAATGTTTCCGTAGATATTACTCCAAAATTAACGTTATCAAATGAGATAATAAGTGTCACAGACTTTGGATGGCCAAGGCGCGACACTTATAAATGGCTAACGAAAGAAAAAATAGACAGTGTTAAATGTCAGCAGATATATTTGGTGCCTAAAGGAGACAAGTATTGGAAAATATCGTATGCAAACTGCGAAAATGAACTTTTGATAGATATTGATAATGCAAAAACGTGGCGGAAAGCATGCCTTAGAATCATGAAAAAGAAGTTGATGCAATGGCAGTCAAAATCTACGACCGGATTAAAAGGAATTTCTTCGTACCTATTGAAGGTATTTAATTTTCTATATCTGGTTCTTCCTCTATTTCTTTATGTCAACATCGACCAGTAAGATTACATATAAGTTTAAACAATCTTTATTTATTGTTTCATCATTTATAATTAACATAAAATTAATTAATATACTAATATACAGTTTATTACATAATTGATTATATGTAGGATATAAATTTGACTTTCAGACAACACTTTTGTGGCTGTGTGAAATTTTACCAGAAGATGAATACTGGTACAAAGAAGAACTAGCCAACCGCTGTCTGAACTTTTTACAAGAATTTGCACATCGTCTCCATAAACGACGCATAGGAGAGTACTTCAATCCGACCGTAAATCTACTTGAAAACAAGGATGATGACTGTATCATTGAACTTAAAGATTTCATAGATGAAGAAATCTCTTTGTTCATTCAATGAAAAAAGTTGTAAATTTGCGAACAATTGCTTTTCGTAAAGCAATTATACATTATAGGCATTGCATAGCCCAGTGAAACCATAAGTAATGATATTTATATATAGATTTTGTCAATAATAAACCTATAACAATAATTAGAAATAACATGTGAGAGTTACCTTTATACTACTCTAGCAAATTGTATTGAAGATGTAATTTGATGATTATACCATTATCATTATACAACAAAACAAATGGTAACTGATACACAGTTTTGTTATCTTGTGCGCACAATAACAAGTTTACTTGTGTTTGTTGTTTATATGCCCCCCCCCGGGTAAATAGTTATTGAATCGTCCGTCCGTACGAGGTTAACCTAAAACGACAAGTTGGATTTTTCTGAAATTCTACCTGTACCAATGACTTCATAATTTTCATACTTACTAATCAATACAAGGTACATGATATCGCCAAATTATATAGCTGTGCCATTCTTTTTCTCCAGTTATTTCCCTTGTTATCACTTTGAAAAAAGGGACTTGTATGGTTAACCTATTCCGTCATGTTGAATTTATCTTAAATTTCTCCTAATTACTTCATTCATTTATTGGTATATTCCATATTTGGTAGCCGATACCTTCTATGGTCCTCTAACTTTTAGTGGAGAAAGGCGTCACTGGGGTCATGGTTAAGGTCACTGGTGTAAAAAATTAAATCAAAACGTTTTTCCTCATACAGCCTTTGCTAGATCCATTAATACTGACATGCGTCACATGCCTAAGGAGGTCCCTTATTTGGGGGTCAGTTATGGGTCAAGGTCAAGGTTACCAATGTCACAAGTAGATTTTTACTATAACAGGTGTAATCTTATTATATTGACTGATGTCTTTTATATTTGGTAGGAACATAAAATTGAGAAATCTTCTTTCTTTGGATGGAGTTTGGAGTCAGTTTGGTCAAGGTCACCAATGCTAAAAGTATTTTTTTACACATTTACCCATACAGCCTTTATGTCTTTCATATTTGAATATAATAATTCAGTGGGTCTTGGTCAAGGGTGCCAATAATAGATTTCTACACAACCAGTGTCGGGAGTCACAAAGTCAAGGCCATTTCTGCTAACAATAGATTTGTTTTTACATTTTTATACAGTCTTTGTATTTTTGTTACCAATATAGTCTCATATTAACAAGGAACATACCTAAGGTGGTCCTTTCAGGGGTCACATGGTTCAAGGTCAAGGTCTTGCATTACACTAGTATTTGATAAAGTTTAATTGGTAAGTTGAATATTTCTCAACTCCATCAAAATCATAGTAATGACTTGCCAACTTATATTTTTCACAATTACAAAACACCATGACTCTGTCAAGTTATATAACTGTGCTCAATTTTTTTTGTCCATAACTGAATGAATGGGTAAACTTTTTTTGAAAATTGTTACTCAGACAAGAATCTGAGCCAGTCGCATTTGTGTTTAATAAACACGTTCTTGCTTCTTCTGATTTTTACGCTTATTTTAACACATTTTTATCAAGTTTTTGGCAGTCGATTCACGTTACCTAACCGGCTTTCCTTGATAACTAACTAATAATTACAATTTCTCCAAAATTGAGCGACTTCTAATCCAACATGATTAATGAAACAGCAGTGGCATGGGTGAGTGACAAATTATATCATATAACTCAATGTCCAAGATCAGCTGAAACTGAGAAAGACTGAACAAGCGGTCCCTGGATTACCTTACCGATGCTCATACTATTGGGTTAAGCAGACGGCAAGATTAAAACAAGTGCATGTTGGTTTGACAATGGTTTCAAAACTACCTGTAAGAAAAAATAACCATAGAGATATCTTTTCTTGATCAATCAATAACTTTCAACAGTAACAATACCTCATGAATTGTGTTGTCATTTAACTTAGTTTGGTTCCATTTCGCTTTTTATTATTGTAGTTCTGTAATCAAGATATTCGCTCCGTCACATTAAATTGCATACATTCAACATGTTTCTTTTATAGAAGTACACATGGTTAAGCACAATGTCATTCTATCACATCAGTTTTAATTTAATCAAACATTAAATAAGCAACAAAATTATTAAGAACTTTGTCCATCGATTGTATTTTTCTATTTACTTCAATGTTTTGTTGATACTAGTCATTTGACAACTTCCCAATTTTACAACTCATTTTTTTAAATGAAGCAAGTTCTTCAATTACAGAGTTCTTGAAATTGCTGAACTATTCACTTTTTTACCATTTATTATCTAATATGATGTAAGAATAACAATATTGTATATCAATTAGTAAATGTTTTAAAGATTTATAAAATTATGTAAATATGTTTATGATACATTTCAACAATCATACACATACTATAATATACACTTGTTTATCTATATTTATCATAAAATGTATAACATTATCAACAATTAATATGACTCTGAATTGACCTGCTATTAACCTATCAATGGTTCTCTAAGTAAAAATATAAAACCTGATATTTATGTGATTCTTCTTTACTTATATAAATGTCAATAGGCCTTAAAGAATATAATATCCAAAAATGTTTAGTGTCTGCCTAAGCGACACTATATAACCTTTTGCCAGATTGCTAAAATTTCCCAAGAAATATTTAACTTTATATTTTTGCATTATACAAGCTGACTGCCAACAGTTTTCAATGTATTTTACAAGAAATTCTGTTATCTGAATAACATGATTCCCTTCCTCAGTGACCTTTTACCATTATGTTCTAGTAAAGTGCAGTATAAGAAATAGCACACGTTATTTCGGACCTCATAGCATTATAGTGACCACCCAGTCAGCCCTAAAGATTGAAAGGAAGTCAGCCTTTGGCTTTGATCCGTTCAATGTTTACAGGCTGACTGATTTGTCACTATAATATCAAGAGACCCTGAGTGCTGTGTACTATTTCTAAAAGAATGTTTCTTGTTTTCTGTGTTTAAATTAGGGATCCATAAGCCTTTTTTTTGTAATACTAAAAAAGAAAGGCGTATAGATCCTTTATTTAGAAAAAATATTATTGATATCATGTTAATGTCATTACTGTTTAAAGTGAACTGATATTGAAGGAATTATGTTTTTGTGAGACATTTTATATATACTCCGAGCACCTGTTTCCCTTTAAAAACCATACTAATAAAGCGCCTATGTACCGTGACAACACCTCATTTGACGGGATTTGTACATTATAAGTATTGGAATAAAGTGAATTTTGAACTGTCGTCAATTTTAAAATTAAATCGATATGCTAACGGTAGAAACCTTAAATATCACAAATGATCAACCTATTAGATTTTGTAAAATAGTTATCAGCAAAATGTACTGTCGATTCAAACATGATCTAAAAGTTCATAGGGGTGGCAGGAAAAAGCCATGTACGAAAACACATTACCAGGAAAACAGGAAAATAAATATTATTATTCGAGCTGATAGTGTAGTGGTTATGGTGATTGTTTTAAATGCGGAAGGTCGTAAGTTCAAATCCAACAAGGGGGTAATACTTTTATTAGGCCTTTTGTATTTCATTTTTTATTCATTCAATTTCTATTTTATTTATTTTCTAATTTATTAATTTTCTATTTACAGTTTTATGTTCATGTATATAAAATGTCCATGTTTTTTTTATTCACGAGAATGCTATAGCATATATAATAAGTTTAAATTCAATTTAATTCATCAATCAAACAATGCCTTCAACCTCTGTGGCACTCACGTCGCGCTGGCACTGGCGTGTTCATCTCCAGTGCCAAGAGAGTACCTCAATAGTTGATTACCACGGAGAATAAAAAAAGCTTTCAAAAAGGTTTTTCACCTAAGTTACAAAAAGTGTGATGGCGTCCTCTCTAACAGCGCCACAACATACACCTCCAGCAAACAGCCCAGAACTCGCGTGCTCGCAATAAATAAAATGATTTTCGTTGCAAGCCATTATGTCACGTATAGCACAAAAGATCAATTGGAGTACCTGTACATTGAAAAAAAAATGAAAAAATGAAATGCTGGGATTTGAACAGGCACCTGTATAGTTGATAGACCAGTACGCTTACCACTTCAACTACAACTTCTCACTGTGCATGAGAAGTATGGCCCCAATGAGTATTACAAACTCCATCCATACACTCATGACTTACTTTTTCTGAAAGTGCACTTATCCCATGCTATGTTTACAATAGGTTCCGAAATAAATAAACTTTCAACAGTACTGTCGATTAAATAGATCGAGAAATGGGAAATTTTAAAATTAAAAAGTACATAGGTTTGACAGCAAAAAAGCCATATATATGGAAACGTAATACCAGAAAAACTGGTGATTGAATATATATCTCGCTTGATAAGTGTAGTGGTTTATGGGGTTGTTTTGCATGCGGAAGGTCGATAAAGTTCAAAATACCATAAAGGGGGTAATACTTTTTGTATTTTTTTTATATTTATTTTTTTTACTTTTATATTGTCCATGTTTTTATTCACGAGGAGAATGCCTATAGCATATAATAATAATTACAATTCAATAAAGTTTCAACATTCAACCTCTGTGGCACTCTTCAATCGGCGCTGGGCGATGGCGTGTCGTCTCCAGTGCCAAACAGGTTACCTTTCAATAATTGATTAACTCTGGATAAAGAATGACGAGGTTTTCATCAAGTTGCTTAGTCAAAGGCTAATCCCTTTATATTCTAGTAAACACAGTTGGGGGTAATAGAAAACAACAATCTTATATTCACTTATTGGCGAGGCGGGGGGGGGGGGAGTTCAAGTTCCTAACGAAAATCCAGAAAAAAAATGTGATGACGTCCTTCAAAACAGCCCGCCCATAACATACAAACCTTAACCAAACAGCTCAGAACATCGCGTTGTTGCAATTAACTAGATAATTTTCGTTGTAAACCATTAATGTACTTGTTAGCCGCAAAGGGCTCAATTGGGAAATGTATTAAGCGATGCGGATTTCGATTAAATCTCGTATTTGGTGAAATGATTGATTCTTATTATAACTTTCAGTTATGCAAGTATTTTTGCTAATATTTTCTTCTTGTCGAGAAACCTTAATGGTTTCCCAGTAAAAATATTCGAATGACAGCTTGTTTATCATGTTTACTTATTTTGAGAAGTAAACCCGTGAATTGAATAAAATATTATTTTAAAAAAATGGAAATGGGCTTGGGATTTCGAACTTCGCACCAGTATACTTGATAGACCAGGCGCGCACCATCAATTACAATGTCTCACGGCAAACAGCTTATCAAATAATATTTAACAATTACTATCCAACAACATGGA